CCGGGGGGGGGGGAGAATAAAGTGCAGGGCATCTGCTGAGCCCCATCGGGTGCTAAGGGGGACGGAAGCCCGCTTTGCAAACTCCATCCGTGGTTGCTTTCCACTTAGGAAACACAAGCGTATGCAAACAGACAACAGTACCCTTTTCCCCTGAAAATAAGCCCTACTCCAAAAATAAGCCCCAGTTGAGTGAAACCTGCCCTCCGCCCTTGTGCAGTAACCAGAAGAAGAGGACAGGGCTGTCTTTGAATAAATGTAGATGGTTGTACATGAAAACAGTAAAGCATCCCCTAAAAATAAGCCATAATGCATTTTTGGAGCAAAAATTAATATAAGACCCTGTCTTATTTTCGGGGAAACACGGTAGGTTTGTGTCGCTTAAGATGGGATGTGCTCCCTTTTATATCCCCTGCATTTGAAGTTACGCTCTCATTGAAGGGCTGCTGAAGCCTATACATAATATTCATGTTATCCTTTTCCAGGTGGAGTATTCAGAAGTGGTTTCCCCTTCCCCACCTCTAGGGGGCGCCCAGAGGTTGGCAAAGCCATGGGGATCCCACCCTCTGCCCAAGGCAGGCATCCAGACCAAAGGGGATCTTCCGGGGGGGGTGGTTCCCAATTGGGTAGGACCTCTTCAAAACAGCCTTCCCACCATCCTCATGCCCCCCCCCCCTGGTATAGACAGAAATCCATGTCACACCCAGGCTGGCTCTTCTCCCAGGAGGGGGGGGGAATCAAGCCCCCAGACTCTGGCTCCACTGCCGGAAATCTAAACCACTGAGCTCTCCAGCCAGTTTGTTGAGGCCTCGTCTCAGAGAAAAATTAAGAGCCACCAAGAAGGCGCTCGGGAACCTTGACATTGTCCAGCTACAGCTAGCAGCCCCTGGAGAGCAAACGCAGCTCGAGTTTTCCCCACTCAGGGCAGTCCTGTTAAGATGACCAATAAGATATTTTAATTTTCCATGCATACATTCAAATTAACCTATGGAGCTTTGTAGACATATTCCCATCACCCCTGTGCCCGAGCAGGTATCTGGATCTAATTCGGTCACTATTTAATGGGCAAGACTGCCTTGGCAGTTTCACGCATGGATTCGAATGTAGCTCAAAATGCCTGCAAATCTCTCTCTGTATGTTTTACACTTTAAGAGGCAGGTCTCTTACTTCTGTAGCTGGCTGGATAGCCCAGCGATTTAGGCATCTGGTTGCTAAGCCAGAGGCTGGGGGTGAGTTTGAGTCCCCCCCCCCAGGCCTCGTGGGAGAAGAGCCAGCCTATGCAGCCCTGGGCAAGCTGCAGAGTCCCAGGGCTCCCCCGGAAGAAGGGAACTTTAAATCACTTCTGAGTACTCTCTACATAGAAAACCCTGGGGAAATGGGATGTCTGTTCTAGTATTTAGTTCTGATCTGTGCTATATTCTTATTTAGATTAATATGTTCACTCAGTTTTATAAATTAAAGATACCTAGTTTGCTGTTTCTTCATTCCCATAAATTTCTTCCCAAGTTTCTCCAGGAGACATTAAGAACAACAGAATCATGAGTCTGTGCAGAGACAGAAAATAGATACTATGTCTCCTATAAAGCAGTCCAGCTTGCAACGTACAGTATATAAAGATTTGTGGGTTTGCCAGACGTCAGATATTGTTGCTAGGAACAATTCCATTGTTAATTGCTTGCTAATCCATTCTGCAACGAACTGTAGCACCAACTGAATATATTCACTATACATAGTAAAATGCAGTAAGGGCATTTGATATATAGACACATGAAAATGCAGTAGCCATTTACTTATGGAGAGGCAGCTGAAGACATGCTAAATCAATTAAGAAAAGACCCACCAAATCAAGAACACCGTGGACAATTGGAGATGACTGTAATATATAATAGGTAACCGTAATAGATAATGCCTGGCTGGATAGCTCAGTGTGTTAGGTATCTAGCAGCAAAGCCAGAGGTTGGGCGTTCGATTCCCCACTGCGCCTCCTGGAAGAAGAGCCAGCCTGTGCAGCCCTGGGCAAGCTGCAGAGTCCCAGGGCTCCCCCGGAAGAAGGGAACTTCAAATCACTTCTGAGTACTCTCTACCTAGAAAACCCTGAAAAAAAGGGTAGCCATAAGTCAGAATTATTATTTTTATTTTTGTGCGTCTGTTTCTCTTCCTCTCTTTTAGCCGCAGAACAGTTCTGTTTACCCGCAGTCCCCACGAATGCTGGTTATTATTTGATTTCTCAATTGCCGACGGGCCCATCCCTCCGCTGACCTTTTGCTTATGATCTAAATCTAACAAGAGGAATCCGATTATCTCTTCAGCTTCTGTTCCTTCCCTTTTCCTCTCCTTCTTCTGTGCCCAAACGGGAACCTTTCCAAAGTGTCTGGAAAGCAGAAAACAGCAGATGTGGGTGACTCAGGATCCCTGGTTAAAGGCGGCTGTATGTTTGGGGAAACTGACAAAGCCCCAAATATTAGGGCGCGTTGCACCAAGTTGTGTTTATATCCTTTCTTTTTATAGCTAGCGGAAAGGAAATGTCTCAAAAATAAAAAAACAAAACCCTGCCTGCTTCAGACCCACATGGATCCCTTCTCTGTTGCGGTTCTGTCCAGGGACACGAACTGATCCAGAACTTCCTTCTAATTGAAAAGATGTTCACATCATAAGACGCAGGGACTGCCCCTTGCAAAAGGGTTTTGTCAGTGGCTCTGAAACAGGCAGGAGGGGGGGGCTGCAAAATGGGTGCTTCCCGAGCGCCATCAACCCTGGGCTTCCCGAGCGCCATCAACCCTGTGCTTCCCGAGCGCCATCAACCCTTCCACGGGGAAGAATGCCAAGAGGGGAACTCCAGTGCCGTCCTCTCATCCATGCTCTCCTGAAATAAAGTCCTGCAAAGCTGGCACCGAATCACAGGGACAAGTTCCGATTTTTTTTCAATCCGAGGGAGAGGAAGGGAACAGGGTAGAGAGAGTGGTTGCATACGAGCATCTCAAAAGCTCACCGAGTTTCAGTTTTCTGGGCGGTGCATTAGAATGAGAACCAGCGATGGTCACCCATGGATCCACTCGCCCGCTCGCATCTCCTCCGTGAGCCGGGCAACATATGCGACCTCGGTGGGCCCTGGCTGTCCTTTCTGACCCGGCTGTTTCTTGGTCCTTTCCAGGCCGTCCGGGGGGCCCTCATGAGTTCCTGCTGGTGCTCGGGGAAAGGCGAGGTGATTGAGGATTGGTGCCGATGCGACCTGAACGCTTTCGATGAGCACGGACTCCCCAACTGCAGCCCCCTCCCTCAGCCGGTGTAAGTACCTGGGGAGCAGGATCAGGAGCGGCGCTTCTCCATCCGAGGAGACCTGCCCTCCCCCCCTTTTTCTTCCTCTGCTTTGATTTCCAGATGGATGCAACCAGCTTCATGTTCACAAAGCACACAACTTCACAAGAGCGATTGGGTTTTGGAAGCAAAATGTGGAAGCAAGAAACCACAGAGGTGCTTCTGTCTGCACTGAAGAAACAAATAATGTTTGGTTTTGTCAGTTTACATGAGACAGCTCAAGCAGTTCTTTTATATATTTAAAATATTTTTAACCCTGCCTCCCTTCTTAAAAGGACCCAAGGCGGCTTACAACATTAAAAGGACAATATTTGAAAGCTAAGAACAGTAAACATGCAAATATTTAAAAAGAATTAAGGCAATCTTCAAGCTCTCTGGAATGCTTGGTCTCAATGTCGAGACATGTTGTATCTCTGTGATGTGCAAAAGGTTTCTTGGGCTTTCTTCCTTTGAGAAGCACAGCTCAAATGTGCACCTGGCCAGCACAGGAGAGAACTGGCTGATTGGTTTAAAAGACACACACACCCAATCCAGCGCTTCTCATGTATGCAACAAAGCAGCCCCCATCCCTTTTTGCGGTCACTCATGTTGCATTGTGTTACTTATTTTTGTGCCCCCCAACAGTCCATGGATTCTCGCTCCCTTCTCATAATGAAAAGGCTCACCCCGCTGATCCTGCCAAGGATAATGGCTTGCAGGACGGAGGAGAGCGAGGATGTGAGTCCCTGGCCAGCAGACAGAGGAGGCTCCTTGTGCTGAATTGGGCACGCTGTGCCACAGATGCCAGGAGGGAGCTGTGGCCAAGAGTGTCCTAGAATGGGCGCGCATATGTGCCAAAGCGTTCCTCTCCCTGGCAAGGAAAAGAGACCCAGGCTAGCATATGGACACCTGTCTTTTTTCTCCATTCGATCCAGGTTGCGTCTGTCCCCAAACGTGGAACCTTCCAGCACCATCGTCTCCCTGGAGTGGCTCGACGTGCAGCCGGCCATCGGAACGAAGGTCTCCGACTACGTCCTCCATCACAAGAAGGTCGACGAGTACACCGACACCGACCTCTACACGGGTGAGTGGGGTCTTCCCGAATCTGCTGGAAGCCAAGCAGACGGTTTGGGGGGTGTCTGCTTCTGGTCCATCAGCTGGCTCTGGCCTCACCAGTGGGTAGAGGGTCACCCGTGAGCCACGAGCAGCCTCCTAGCGTGTGTTTGCAGTCCCTTCGAAGCCCCCGGGGCCACGTGAAGCCCCCGGAGAGAGAGAGAGAGAGAGAGAGTTTTTTTCTTGCTCCCGGAAGCTTTCAGAAGCAACCATTTTTGCATCAGGCAGGTTAGGGGCGAAGGGTTTTAAGTCAAATTAAAAGGAGTGGCTTGGTGTTTTTCCTCCACTTTTTTGTAAGGGGGAGGACATCTCTATCCAGTTACAAACCTGGTACACCTTTATCTTGTTGGGAACAAAAGACATTGGGGGCCTTCTCCCCCCCCCCAGCATGGCCCACCCATGTCGTACAGAATGCTTCGAAGGCACTGGGCACAGGGCCCGCTTCACTCCCGCTACGGCTTCATTTCCTCAGGGATGCGTGCTCCGTGCCCACCATGGCAAAGCCCTCCAAGTCCCAGTTCGGGGGGGGGGGCTCTCAGGGTCTTTGGAGGTCATTGGAAGTGATGCTCAAAGTGAATGAGCTGTCGTTTTTCTGACAGACCCAGATGGGGTTCGTTTCCTTC